ACTAGATTTGCCTCTGGTGTTGGAGTTTAAAAAAAAATAATTCTGTATATGAAAAGTGTCAACCCACATATATACATTATCAATCTAGAGTTCAAAATATCTGGAAAAAAATATTGTTTTGGACCAATCAAAACTCTTGTTTTAAGAAAGGAAGACAATGATTGGCTGGGAGCTTCTGGTACTCTGATGTCAGCTGACAGATGACCCGGATGTTCCTACAAATCCATTTGTCCGCGAACAGAACATAAGAACACCCAACACCCTTATCCATCATTCCAACATATTAATGAGAAATGTTTTTTGGTCACATTTCTTTTTCTACCAGTTACATTGTTTTGGCAGTAATTGAATCCATATCTAGTTTTGCCGTATCTTCAAGGGGGGAAAAAAGACTAGAAAAATCCACTGCGGATGACATTTATTTTGAAATTAATTGATCAAAGAAAAAAGAAATAGGGATTTCTTTTTGTAATTCTGTGATATGAGTTGTGTGAGTTTGTGGTCTTGATCCATGGAATGAGTACACTGAGGGATGGGTTCAGCCGTGACGATAAATCATTGTTCCTGGGAGTAATTGGCGTCGGTCAATTACTGACTACAATAGTGCGCTAAAATAATTAGATACATAGACTAGCTACAGTGGTGAGTTACAATTACTAACTACAATTAATAGCTACAATTACTTACTGTAATTACTAGGTACAATTAATAGCTACAACTACTAACTTCAATTATTAGCTAAAATTACTAGCTACCATTACTAGCTACTATTGTGAACTACAATTACTAGTTACAATTACTATCTCTGATAACTAGCTACTATTGCAGGCTACTACTGCCAGCTACATTGGCGATTTACAATTACTAGCTTCATCAGGATCTTTTCCCAACAGAAGTTAGAACCCTTAACACTTTACCCAAACTACACGTTTTTGGTTACACATTAAAAGGATGAATATTTGACTTGTGTAGCACTGAATGCTGGGTTAAATTACGCGTAAGTGTGAGTAATCCAATTAAACACTACATTCACATCCGCTTCTCGGTGAGTGACGAGAGCTATACTGACGTCTCACTTCTACAGACAAGCCCACAGCTCATGTAGGTTTTGTGACGTCCCTAGATTCTACAGGCAAGCCCACAGCTCATGTAGGGTTTGTGACGTCTCTAGATTCTACAGGCAAGCTAACAGCCCATGCAGGTTTTGTGACGTCTCTAGATTCTACAGGCAAGCCCACAGCCCATGCAGGTTTTGTGACGTCCCTAGATTCTACAGGCAAGCCCACAGCTCATGTAGGGTTTGTGACGTCTCTAGATTCTACAGGCAAGCCCACAGCCCATGCAGGTTTTGTGACGTCCCTAGATTCTACAGGCAAGCCCACAGCTCATGTAGGGTTTGTGACGTCTCTAGATTCTACAGGCAAGCCCACAGCCCATGCAGGTTTTGTGACGTCCCTAGATTCTACAGGCAAGCCCACAGCTCATGTAGGTTTTGTGACGTCCCTAGATTCTACAGGCAAGCCCACAGCCCATGCAGGTTTTGTGACGTCCCTAGATTCTACAGGCAAGCCCACAGCTCATGTAGGGTTTGTGAAGTTCCTGGTTTTGGGCTTCTCCAATTAAGCCTCATATCTATATATAGTGTATATAGAGTTTTCTCTATTAAGATGACCACCATGGTCAGTTTTCTAAAGTTGGTCAGTTGCTCCAATGATGGCCAGTTTCACCCATGGGGACAGCCACTCTTCTAGGAGAGACAACTCCAAAAAATCAAACAACTGCTGCCTTGTAGTTTGTTCTTGGTTGGACAAAGGCTATGGAAGCAAATCCAAAAAAAGAAAAGCAGGCTGAAATCGGAGTCAATGGCCTAAATGGCGCATAACCAGTTGACACGTAATCCTTAATTGTGATGGAAGCATGGTCGAGTCGGCAAAGCTCATGGTTGATAAATTCGAAAAAAGTCTCGAGTTCAAACCCTCTAGCAGATAGGGCTCGATCCCTTCCAACACTAAAAATTAAGAACGAAGAAGAAGAAGAAAGACCCATGGCCATCACACGTAACACGTCATTCAGTTGGTGTCCAACACACGTAAGGTGAACATTTGAATACCGAACTAGATAATGTTGTGTAGATAGTGTAATTAACGAATTTGATTGGTTGTGGTCAGTTGTGTAAATAACCATTTAGACTGATAGTTGTATAAAAAGTCTATATAACAAACTAGACTGATGTGTAAGTAACGATCTAGATCCGTGGTTCCCAACCTTTTTCGAGTGGCGACCCCCTTTTATAAAAAGTAAGTGACCCGCGACCGCCATAGAATTAAAAAGCCGAAATTATTATGGAAATTAATAAGCAGTAAAATATGATTTTCTAGTAGTAGTAGACTTTCAATATGAACTACTCTTGATAACTGTTTTAATAGCATGAGTAAAATTGCATACTATTCACTAAACCTTCGTGGTTAAGTTTTTAATTATTTTTTTTTTGTTAAAGCCAATCTATGTCATTATAATTATCTTAATTTTGTTTTTAATCGAAGAATAGTGTTGAAAATATATTCTTGAAAAGTCAATCAATTTTACGTTTGGGTATGAATGGTGAATACTACACCAAAATTGTGTCTGCAGTTTTTCATCTTACTCGGAATCATTCTGCAAATCAAAGAATTCATCTTGTAATTCATCGGGAATGCTGGCAACATCAAGGGAAGAAGAGAATGGGTAATGCGTAAATGCAGATTCTTCTTTTTTTCAGCTCAGAGAAATAGCGATGCAGTTCGTTTTTAAGAGATTCAAGATGCCCAGAAATCGCTTCTTTCAAAATTTTAATTATCTCACAATCAGATTCATCTACCACGCCGCAGAGTTTCTCAAATTTACAATATTTCCAAGATTTATTTTCTTTACCGATTTTGCAGTTTTGATAAAAATGCCCCGAGATTATCATGGAAAGTTATAATATTCGTTCATTTTCCCTGAAGCTTCAGGTTAAGCTTATGTTGATGTTCGAACCACTCTAGGTCGTTTTAAATATACCAAAAGGTCTTGTTTCCTTTGCACTTCCAAGAACAATTTGATTTCAGATTTCAATTCAAAAACACAATTTACAACATTTCGTTTGACAGCCAGCGTACTGTAGTGTAGAAGAGCAGAACCTCGTGATCTATATTAATGTTTTTGCTCAGTTCTTTGAAGGCTCCAGATTTTATATAATTTACGACTTATACTAGCAATGGACTCTTGATGTCGATTGGTTAGGGCAGTGGTTAGGGAGCTAAATCTTTTCTGTTTTCTGAAAGCCCGATTTTGAGCTAAACATAGATGGTGCGCCATCCGTACAAACCCCCACAGCCGTTCTAATCCATTTTAATTATCCAGTTTCAAAAAAGATATTTATTTTCTCCATTCTATCTTCACAAAAGAGCAACTCTTCTTTGCTATCATCCGCATGAATATAGACACAGACCAGCAACAGCGAACACGAACTCACGTCTGTTGATTTATCAACTTGAAAAGCAAACAATGGTGAAAACTTAATTTCAATAAAAATGTGTTATTTAACATTTACGTACATGCAGCGTTTGATGAAATGTTCTCCTATTGTTTTTTTTTTGCTTGGCATTTTCTATCGCGACTTCATTTGATGTTTGCACTAATGCTAGTGAAAACTTCCTGTTCGATCAAGTCTCTGGCGTTTGCAACTAGCTTCTTACCGACGAAAGAACTCCATATATTTTTTGGTGTGTTCCGAATGACTCGTCTCAAATGACGTTTTAGTTTTGAAGATTTCATAGATTCGTGACTGAGAACAACTTTTTACAGTGCGCTTTGTTTCTTCTCTATTACATTTCCAGTGATGTTACTAAAGCCGAATTATAAAAATTCTTCTAAATATTTATGTTTTGTTTCAAATTACTAAGGTTTAGTATACCAGTTGGCGACCCCCCAGAAAGACCTTCGCGGCCCCCAGGGGGGTCGCGACCCCCAGGTTGGGAACCCGTGATCTAGATAGATTGTTGTAAGCTTCGATCTTTAATTAGTTAATGAGTTACCCATCCATCTCCCCACTCCCCAACCCATCCATCTCACCACTCCCCAACCCATCCATCTCACCACTCCCCAACCCATCCATCTCACCACTCCCCAACCCATCCATCTCACCACTCCCCAACCCATCCATCTCACCACTCCCCAACCCATCCATCTCACCACTCCACAACCCATCCATCTCACCACTCCCCAACCCATCCATCTCACCACTCCCCAACCCATCCATCTCACCACTCCCCAACCCATCCATCTCACCACTCCCCAACCCATCCATCTCACCACTCCCCAACCCATCCATCTCACCACTCCCCACTATAATTCCCCTCAACGTTTGCCCCGCTGTGTGGCCGCAGGTGCCACCTCCCGTCATTCCCCAGCCTGTAGACATACGCCCCACTGGAGCCAGGACAGGTGCACGTTGTGTACCAGTACCTGGTCAAGCCGTTCTCCCTATTCTGTTTATGCGTCCATCGTCCTACAGAGACCTGTTTAGGACAGCCATGAGGATGTGAAACTATAACCGCTAATTTATCCACATATGCAAATTTCCCGTACTTGTACTTAGGGGTCATCCATAAATGACGTCACGCTTTTTTTGACGATTTTTACCTCCCCCCTCCCCTCCGTCACACGTCGTCACAAAAAGCCAGACCCCCCCCCTAAAATGACGTCACACCTCAACCTACAACCCCCCTCAAAATTGCAGTTGAATTTTTTAAAAACATCGATATTTTTCCAAAATCTTGTCTAAACTATTACAATTTATTAAAACAGTTATCTAAAACGCAAAATAACGTCTAAAATTCGTTTTCTAACATTGCTTTTTTATAATACAAAAATGTGACGTCGCAACATCTGACCCCCCTCCCCCTCCCCCTCATCACACATCGTCACAAAATTACGGACCCCCTCTCCCCCCTACGAGTGTGACGTCATTTATGGATGACCCCTTAGCTTTCCTGTGTAGTTCAACAAATCGCTGTTTCATCATAGCCAGTTGGTCAACCAGTTCTAAGTCACACGTCACAAATCTCATCTCACAGCGATCTCCCTCGATATTCGCCCTCGCCACCTCCCACCCAGCCAGGTACACCACGTGACTTTTATCATCATCAAAACCAAAAACACACCTGGTCTGTCTCGCCTCGCTGTCATCAAAAACCACGTGTGTGGCTGTCACCACACTAATCACCCCCCACACTTTGCTGGGCGTGGCAGAGACCTGACATTTCTCACACTGACACATCCGGTCGCAGTACTTGTGTACGCGGCACACCCTCCCCGTCCCCAGTCTCAAGACAGTACCCCCTCGGTCGTTATAACACGGATAAGGGACCACCGTCCCTGGGTAGAACTCTGGTCTCTCTAGACTGGTGAATTTAGTCTTCACCTGGACAGTCAGAGCAGCCGACGCTTTGATCGTCTCCAGCATGAGCTCGTCGTCATGGTAACGTGAGGGGAGGCAGTATTTGTTGAAGTTTTTAAGAGGTATAAATCCTCTGTGATCTGGATTCTTCTTGCAGCCAGTTACACGTTTGTGTAGATCAGCTTCTCCTCCATAGCACATCTCAGCTTCATGATTTCCTGAAAAAAAAACAGCAAAAACAAACAACTATTAAATTATTTAGCATAAAATAGATACAGAAATACTTAAAACTTAAAAGGTTTTAATTAGCTTCTTTTATCTTACCTGGATTAAACACACAAGATTGGTCGGTTTTCGTAATTTTTATAGGGCTGTCACCGTTTCCAAAATCTAAAGTTTAATAAAAAAAATAATCTAATTAATTTAATTCTTTTGTTCGTGATAATAGATGTACACTAACAAAGTCATTTTGAAAGTAGATCGAAACAAAGAAATTAATAAATTAAAACAACGTTTTTGGGATTAATCATGAATACAACATGTATAAAATCTTGAAAAAAAAAGACATATTTTCTTTGTTTATAATGGTAAAACTTATTTTCCTAAGTAATATTTTCAATATATATTGCAACCGATGCTTTTACTATTCTAGCTTAATGAAATATACGCTTAATCTTTAGTTTTTAGAGACAAATTAAAGATGAAACGTATATTTTTTCATTTAAAAATAATCTACATAATAAACATTGTTTCTAAATTAAGTTCTTATTTTACTTAGATATTGAAATATACATTGATGAGTCGATAACCCAGTTTTTAAAACAATTAGTTATGACTGTTTTTCCTCAACAGGACGATCGCTCATGTATCGACGACACCCCTCATAATTAAAGAACAAACCTGGACCAATGACCAAGTGACTTATGTCGCTAGTATTCCCTTACAAATGTCCCTATACACAGATATCATCTACATGTTTAGTTTTGTAATGGCTGGATCATGCACTGCGAATGTCTAAAAAAAAAAACACAAGGCACCCAAATATGGCACTGAGATGGACTTCGAATTGGGGTGGGGGCAGTATTTTCCCCAAACTTTTTTCTCCAGGGGGGGGGGGGGGGCACTTATTATTTTCGGAGGGACGGACAATATTTTCCGGGGGGGGGGGGGGGGGGTGGGGGGCGTACACTGTTAAAAGTATATGTTTTCTATATAAATTCCATTTCGTTCGGGGGAGGGGGGGGGGGCGGTAGACTTTGGAGCCCTCCCCCCCCTTGAAGAGATGCCTGGAAGAAACTCTGGGTGGGGGTGGGGTAATAGAGTGGGGGGGGGGGGGGGGGACTATGGGAAGGTGGAGGGAGATGGAAAAAGAGGCGCTGTCTACAGGAACACATGCAATTTTTAATGATTTTTTTTACAAGCTTTTATTTAACTTGCTTCCTCGTCATGTCAGGATCGAAACTGGCGAGCGAAATTTCGACCTCTTCTAACCGACCTATTTCGATGAAACTTAACACGTGGGCTAAGACCCGAGAATAATGCCGTCTGAGATCAAATAGGACTAAATTGGATGTTAAATTAATATTTTAAGAATTAATTTTAAATTTCCTATAAAATATATTTGCCGCGCTAATATATTCACATTTTTCGTGTTTATTTAGCGCGCAATTTTTTTAAAGTCCTTCAACTCCACTAAATTAACAATTTTAAAGTGCTGAAAAAAATGCATTAAAATGCATTATCAAGCTTTTATGTAATAATTCACTGAAAGGTGAAAATAAATGATTATAACAAAAAAAGAATAAACAACTATTTAAATAACTAAAAATAAAAACGCAAGTCGCTTCATAAATTATCGCAAAACTATTCGATTCATAATATAGAAACCCTGAGTTTCCTTTGTTTTATTATTTAAATAGCAGCTCATCATTATATTAAAGTTATGCATATTTTTACAAGTTTGAGTTTGATAATTTAAATTATTTTTTTGGCCATAGGCATGTAATTTACAACGTCCCCTTGCCTGGCCATCTTCGCTTTAGTATTACAGTTTTCATCATCGGCTTGTGAGGACTGATACAGATTTACAATAGTAATACTTCTTTCTTACACGTAGCCCACTTTCATTCATTTAAGATTATTTACTTATACATAAATCTAATACGACAAGTCTAATTGCAAATTTATTTTTAAACCTGAAATTGCAAATGTGTATTAAAATGATGATTCAAGGATTTATTTCTCATCTGTGTAATGGGTTGAAGGGGTTTGGGCTTTAAAGTAGGGGTGAAATAAATTTAGGATTAAAGAAAAAAATATTATAAATATTATAAGCAGCCGGAATGTTATGTTGAGTACAATGAGACACTTCAAATAAAACATTCTTCATTCTCCAACATCTATATCTTTAGCAGACCTCCCACAGTTTATTTAGTTTTATAAATTTATTTTAAACATTTACTAACATAGTAATAATAATTTGAGGAATATGGAATTGAAATTAAAAGTATCTTATCGGCTGAATGATCCTACTTTAAAACTTATTAGAATAATATATTTATTATTTCTATTGGTTTAATATATAAATTAGAGGTCAATTATAATTTGAATTAGAATAGTTTTAAATTAATACATTGTTTTCTTTTACCACTATAATTCATCATGTAATATATTAAAAATAGCAATGATTTTTTTTATCTAATTGTCTTTTTATTGAATTTTGTAATTTGTATAAAGGATTTTTAAGAATGCCTTTGTGTTCTTCCCCTTATCAAGAATTGCTTTTACTTTCTCGACTACGAAGCGTAGTGGAGGTATTGTAATCGTGTATTTCTCAAATCTCGACGTTTTAGACTTCCCTGAGTCGGAACATTGTTTTGTAATTTTGTCCATATGTCAATGTGTGTATGTGTGTGTGTGTGTCTGTGTTGATGTGTGGATGTGTGTCTGTGTGCCTGTGTGTCTGTGAACACGATAACTTGAGTACCACTACAGCTAGGTTGATAAAATTTCATATATAAGTATTAAATCAAATTTGTAGTTCGATATCAACTTTACAGCGATTTCCAATAACCGGAAGTGGAACTTATTCTACTTTTGGTTTTTTAAAAGCCTATAACATGAGTACTGTTTCAGAAAGATAGACGAAATTTAACATATAAGTAAAAGATCTAATACTCTGCCTTCTTTCAAATTTTGAGTCATTTCCGTTTACCGAAAGTAGTACTTAAAGTTATTTCCGATTTATCAAAAAACGTATATGAATTTAGAAAGTACAAGTATAGAACCTCAAAATAACAAGTTTTTAGATGCATTAATGTAAGAAAAAAAAAGTTTTTTTTAGATATGATGGGGAAAAATAATAAGTTAACATGTTAACCGCATTAGGAAAGGTTAAGTTTACATTTTAACTTTTCTTAATGCAGATAAATAAATACCAAGACCCATGGCGTTAAATATAATATTAAAGATAAAATATATTTTTCGACAGACGTTTTAATTGTTCCAACATATCTAAAGACATTTTTTTGCATTCTTATTTTTATGCGTTTACAACATTTTTTTTGTTGGTTTTATACTTGTTTATTATTCCTTAAAATAGAAAATAACTAGCCGTCCCGGCCAGGCCCTGCCCTGGGCTCTGTGGAAAACCTATCTGTAAAGGACCGTTACTTGTGTTTTTGTTAAGTAATAAGAAATATATTACTTTTCCAATTAAATATCTACATGCAAATAACCCTCAATCTAATTCTAATTGTAAACGTAACCCTTATCACAACCAACCACAACAAAACTAAAACTAAATACAAACGTAAACACAAACGCAAACACAAAAGCAAACACAAACAAAAACGAAAACACAAAAGCAAACGCAAACATAAACGAAACGCAAACGTGAGCGCAAACGTAAACATTAACACTAACGCAAACATACAAGCAAACACAAACGCAAAAACAAACGCAAACTAAAACAGAAACCAAAACTCAAACACAAACACAAACGCAAACGCAAATTCAAACGTAAACACAAACACAAAAGAAAAAGAAAAAGTAAACACAAACGCGAACGCAAACAAAAACACAAACACAAAGGTAAACCACATCAAACATAAACGCAAACGTAAACATTAAAATTAACACAAACGTAAACACTAAAACAAACTAAAACGCAAACACAAACTCAAACATAAAAAAATATTTTACATTTTTTGTTGTTTGTAAATCACATGCGTAGTTGGTATAAAGAGACGTAATTTGTATACCTATTTTAAAAAAAAATTGAAATTTGTGTAAAGGGTAGTACTTTATTTTAATTTAGTTTTTTACGTCAATAAAGATGATAAGTTGAAAAATGAAAATTTATTTTAAAAATGTATCAATATTGAGTTTTTAAATTATCAATTTTTTATTTTATTTTAAACATAAGCACTTTAAGAACATTAAACTGTGGTGAGAAAGTCGAGGTATTTTACTATATGCATGTCTCCCAATGGTCCGTCCACCACAGAGCCCATTTCAATTTTATTAATTAATTAGACTACTATTTCGCACTATTATACACACAGTGTTTGCTGTTCACTTGGTGTGCATTTCTCTTTTTCTACGAGATTCTATTCTTATTTAAAAAGTTTAAGTAATTAAAAATTGATTAAAAAATCATGTCTATATCCCCAGTTGCCATCCCCCGTAGTGTTATATAAGAATATTCGAGAAAGTTTAGGGGAGATCATTCCCGCTTTATTTATTGAGAAATCACTAAGACAAACTAGTTTACAATATAAAACAATTCTAAAGAAAGTAACTAAACTGTTCTAGCTAAAAAAAATGTTTAGTTACCTACGTACTTAAAAACAACACAAACGTGAAATCTGTAGAACATTGATGCAAAACAATCACATTCAAGTATTTTTGGCATCTTATCTGTTTCCATAACATTGATCACGTTTTAAAAAAAAAGTTATCGGACCCTTCCTTAGATCTAGACATTCAATAACTTGAAAATAACGTAATTCTAAATGCAATTACCGAAAAGATTAATGAAATCGCTTCATTAGAAATGGGTCAAATTTGAGTCACAAGTCTTGACCACAACCAGATAACCTTAAACATTCGGACAGACAACCTAACAGACATTTCGACAGACAAACTTTCGATCTAAATAAAACGGCTTTTAAAAATATCTACGAATACTAGCACATACCCGTTACTTTTGTGTGTGTGTGCGGGGGGGGGGGGGGGGGGGGGGAGGGCAAAGGATTTGTTTTGTTGAATGCCATAATTATTTTTTGAATATTGCCAACTAAAAACCTGGCCAGATCTAGGACAGAGGCGTAGCTAAGGGAGGGCGGTTTGGGCGGCTGACCCGGGCGCCGACCTTAAGTGGGCGCCTAATTGGGTAGAAAAGTAAGCTTATTTTGAAGTGCATTGCAGTCAAAATTAAGCAAAAAGAATGCTACTTGACTCTACGATAAGGAAAACAATTATTAATGGTGACTGGTGGAGGGGATCCTTTTTCGTTAGGTAAATAAATATATAAATATAGGGACAGGGGGGGGGGGCGCAAAAAAAGCTAGTTCACCCCGGGCGACAAAAGGGGTTGCTACGCCTCTGGTCTAGGATTCAACATCTATTGGGTTTTACCTTCAGGCACATGTTGTGAGCCTCGTTTTCTTTTTCGTTTTTGGGCAAAATTCCCCATGACAAATTTTGCTGTATTGATGAAAGTTTCATCATTAAAAAATAAAGTCTAGTGAATGCCCATGTTCAAGAATTTCATGCAAGCTATTTTTATGCAATTTTATTTTTATGTTTATATATATATATATATATATATATATATATATATATATATATATATATATATATATATATATATATATATATATATATATATATATATATATATATATATATATATATATATATATATATATATATAAATGCAAGCATCTCTGTGTTTCCCTTGTGCACCACTTCACCGTTTACGAATCGCAATAAAACTTCGAAAAGTTGTTGAGATTGCTCATGGGAAGGTGTCTGAGAATAAAAAAAAATTACTTTCGGTAATATTGAGTTTGATGCCCCTGGCTCCATTGTGAGTAATATGAGGCCTACTTTCAATTTAAAGACTGCGATATAGTATGTATACGATGGGCTACTATAAACGTTCACTAAGTCGAATCAGACGTGTTCTTAGGCGCGCAGACAGGGTTTGATTGGCTTTTCGGGCTCCCCCGTGAAGACTGGCTACTATGGGCTACTATAATCGTTGACTAAATTGAAATAAGGCGCCCCGTGAGCACTTTGGCGCCTACATTCGTTTTAAAGAGCACCCTACAACAGAGACACGGTGGCACACGACATTCAATGACTAAACCGAACAATCGGCCCCCTCCCTACGCCCCTGACACCCGGAGTGTGATTAACGTACACTCAAGGCTTTCATACAGCACGCCTTGTGGCATCTGCTCGGTAGTGTGTTATGCTTTCTACTTTTCCGGTTCGTGTCTAAGTCTCATGGGGTGGATGAAGTAGAGTTAATCTGTTTCAATAATCGGCATACAAGAGGATAGCGTGTTCAGAACTATACCCAACCGCCATTGTTTCCTTAACGTGAGTTAGGTACACATCAAAGCTGAGTGGACTCAGGGACGTCCACAGACTCGAGCTCAGGATCCGAACTCAAGACTTTCGGGTTAGCAGTTGTAAGCTTTACCACACGATCCTAATCTGTTATTACATAATTATAATTATTTCGTAAAAAATATTTGTTTTTTTTTCAAATTATCTTTCTTAACTAATATTCATGAAAGCCTAATACTTTTTTTTGGTCGCCTTTTATTTACTAATTGATAATGTAGTTAAATAAATACATATAATGTTAAGATTGTAAGGTAAGAAATTGGAATAATAACATACAAACCTACCCGTTGTTAGCTGCTGTAATTAAATGAACGATCTGTTTACCTCAGATATTGCGACGTTTCTATTTTTAGCAGTTCAAGTAAAAATAGTTTTTCCCGATGTATTAGATTTTCCCGATATTAGTTAATCATATTTAACATACCAAATACGAGTTCGCTTAGCTTTTATCGCTAAGTGGGGGTCAGCGATTTCATGAGCGATCAACGGTTGTATTAAAAAAAAAACACTTTTATTTAATTTATATATTTTAGTGCATTTAGGGGCCTAATTGAATTGTTTATTTTATACCATGTCCACCTTTTCAAACATCATTTATATTCAGTGTTTGTATTGGACATTATTCGTTTTAATTTTCGCGGGAGGGAGGGGCGAACTTCAATTTCCAGGGAGATGGGGCCGGACACTGGTTAAAGAATATATTTTCTTAATAGATTAGGACTTAAGACATTTTCTATTTAGTTTGGGCTGTGGGGAGGTGGTGGGGAGGTGGGCGTGTTTCTGAGGAGGAGGGGTCGGAAAAAGAAAGAAACTCTGCTTCTATTATTCAAATGTTTGTTTCAAACTCAACAAAACACCCCAAAAGTATGATAACGTCGGCTGTGTATTGTGTGTTCACACTGATATTGATATTATCATAAATAACTAAGTCAAGTACCATTACGGTCTGTGAGGGTACAGGTGTTTTGAAGATGGTTACCACCAGTTGTGATGGTACGAAATGCAATCTTTGTTTGAAGGTTCTTCTTGTTGTATCAGTTGTGAGGGTGGGGATTTTTAAGATGCGGAACGAATGAATGCAATAACACACAGTTCAAGTTCAACTATAATTGTTCTTTATTAAAATGATATATGTTCAAGTTTCTACCTAACTGATCTACACTGTACTATTTACTTCTACTACTGACTGTTCATACCACATGCTACCTACAACTACGCACTCCCATGACCAATCCTAACACTAACTGTTCTCTACATTCTACAACCTAACACCTTCTACCTTCGCTAGCTAATCATGATCTCCTAACTATCTACATTCTCGGCCGTCTCTGACCGCTACCTAACAACTCCTGGCCTATCTCTCTACTGCCCCACGCCTCAGTGGTCAGCTGACCGTCCCACGTGACCGGTCAGCCCTGTGCGCCCATTGGCCTCTCTACCCAACCAACTAGGCCTATAGTCTGTTTCTGCTAACCTATATCTGCTAAACATGTCTGACGTAATCTTGCGTCATCACATATCTCCCTCCCTTTCTGTAGCTGACAAATTATATTTTTCAGCGTCTGCTACTAATCTAATACATCAACAACTATCTATCTTACTACTCTATTCTATCCCTAACATCAATCATGTAAATCAAATACAAAATGGGACAGCACAGTTTACAAAAACATAAAATCTTGTGTCTGTGTTCTTGAAAAAAAATGTCATTGTTTTCGTTCTTGTGTAGGTATCCTGACGTCTGTGGTGTCTCTGCTTGCTTATGTATGTCTATGTTTCATGGTATGTGTGAATTCAATCATGTATAACTCAGTTCTGGCTAGGTTGTCGTGTACTGGCCTTGAGCTAATCTTAGTAGAATGTGTAACTGGTTGAACGGGCTCTGCGAGCAGTGTAAGTGTATGTGTAAGTGTTATGTAATTGCTTGCGTTCCTCTGTGGTGGGTGGGTTGTGGCGAGTTTTGATGTAAATTCCCGTGAGGCGGGTGTAGGCGTAACTTTCGTTGGTCAATGTGATGACGCAACAAACTCAACGCTGGTTGAGACGTCCACGTAGAGTGGTTATACGATGAACTGGAGCTGTCTGATGCGGTGGCGAACATTGACGTAACGTTCCGACGCTGGGAACTTGGACGATGGGTCGTCTACCCTTTGTATGTGCCGACGTAGGTGTACGTAGCTGGCGGTCTGTTATTGAACCCCAGTGCGGGTGCGACGCGGTGGCGATGCGTCCGCTGTCTTGACCAGGGCAATTCTCTGTTAAGCAGGGCTGTTCGCTGTCCAGGTAATTCAACGTAATCAGGGCTTCATGTGGCGGCATTCTTTGAAGTGTCTGCTTCATCTCGTCTCATTCTGAATAAGCGTAGTGGGTCTGAAATTGTATTACGAGACCATGAGCAATGGTTTTACGTGACCATCTTAGTGCCCGCGCAGACAAGTATTCAGACAGAGGTACCTTCCATTAAATAAAAACCTCAATCCCAAATTTAAACGTGCTGAACACTTGTCTGGCGGTACATACATCATACAAATATAACATTACAAAAATAACCAAATAAAAACTCAGTACACTCTAATCTAACAACAATCCGTAAAGCCTAATAAACTCAATAGACGTAAACACTACTAGAGCTTAGAAATAGCTTCACAAAAAAGAATAGACATGTAAGTGTATATAAATAATCGTGCCGTTTCAAATAACATTTGAACACGTAATCATATAGTGGAGCAGCTCTCACTATCTGACTTCTGACAAAAACTGGCTGGCTTGACTTAATGACTGACTTCACTTATGACTTCAGTAACCTGACTTATTTCACTTTAACTGACTTCAGTAATTTCACTTATTTCACTTTGACTTCAGTAACGTGACTGACTTCAATTTAACGACTGATTCCACTTTGACGACTTCAATTACTTCAACTTGACGACTAACTTCACTTTGAAGACTAACTTGACCTCGACGACTTCACTTCAATTCAACTTAAAAGACTTCACTGACCGACTTAAACTTCGACGACTTTAACGTCTTCACTTTGACTTCAAAGACTTTTCCTTGACTTCAACTACTTCAAAATGACTTCAAAGACTTCACTTTGACTTCAACTACTTCAATATGACTTCAAATAATTCACTTTGTCTTCAACAACTTCAATATGACTTCAAAGACTTCACTTTGACTTCAACAACTTCAATATGACTTCAACGACTTCACTTTGACTTTAACGACTTCAATATGACTTCAAATAATTCACTTTGACTTCAACAACTTCAATATGACTTCAAAGACTTTAACTTTGACTTCAAAGATTTCAACGACATCACTTTGATTTCAAAGACTTCATTATAACTTTGACGATTTCACTTCTTCACTATGACCTCAACTACGACTTCAACAACTTATTGACTGACTTGACTGACTTCAAATAACTTCTTTGACTTCAGTTCTGACTTAAACTTCACTGACTTCAATAACACTATTGACTTCAGATTGACTACACTGACTTCAACTTGTATCGACATCACGCCGATTTTCTCGACTACTTAGATTAACACAAAAACTCGACTTGACTTCACTATTATGTCCGTTGTTCAAAATCATTTGTGGGGGCGGTCCGGGTCAGATTCTTGATCATGGGGTTGATGTTCTAGGGCAGTTGCGTGTTATCTATGTGCTGTACTTCCAGTTTCACTAATTCTATCGCTAACTCTGCTTTTGTTCTTGACATGTCTTACTATCTTGACTATCTTGTTTTCTAACTTATTCTCTACAAATGTTTCAACTTCTTCTCCTGTTTTGTCTAATGGTATGCACCGTTTATATCATTGAAACTCTGCCTCCATGGTTGTGTATGTGTATGTGTGTGTGTAGAGGAAAGTCAACAAAACTAAGGCAACAGGACGTAACATAAGAATGTATAAGGCAGAAAAACCACTGGTACAAACTATCCAGCACGGGTATAAACCCAAACGTTTAAAAAAAATGTTGGAAGGTACTTATCTTTTTGAACATGGTGACAGTTCCCTTGTGTTGTTAATCCAAACTCGTTCCGGCTGAAGAAACCGC